AGATGTGGAGCGCTTGGTGAGGTGGATGAGTCTAGCTGCTGAGTTTAGGATCGACTGGAGTGGGGATATCGTTCGTTTGGGTAGGCTGGGGAGAAGGGAACTTAGTACAGGCGTGAAATGATGAGGGAGTGTACGAGTTGTTTGGTGGTGTCTGGGGTGAGGAATGTGCGTATCTTGGAGATGTTGCGGAGGTGGAGCCTGCAAGATCTAGATAGCAGTTGGATGTGGGGTAGGAAGGAGAGGTGGGAGTCCAGGGTGACACCCAGGACTTTGGCGTGTGGGGTGGGCGAGATGGTGGCATTGTTAGTAGTGATGGAGAGGATGGGGGGGGCGTGGGGTGGGGGGAAGACCAGGAGCTCAGTTTTGGATAGGTTAAGTTTGAGGAAATGGAGCGACATCCAGTCTGATATGTCGTTTTAGGAGGTGGGCGATGCGGGCAGAGAGTGAGGGGGTGAGGTGGGGGGTGGAGAGGTAGATTTGGGTGTCGTCGGCATAGAGGTGGTAATTTGAGCCGTTGGAGTGAATAAGTTTGCCAAGGGAGGAGGTATAGATGGAGAAGAGGAGGGGTCCGAGGACAGAGCCTTGGGGGACCCCGACAGAGAGGGGGAGGGAGGGGGAGGTGGAAGTGTTGTAGGTGACGCTGAAGGAGCGTTGGGAAAGGTAGGAGGAGAACCAGGAGAGAGCAGCGTCCCTGATGCCAAGGGAGTGCAGTTTGGCAAGGAGGAGAGGGTGGTCAATATAGACATATATATATATATATATATATATATATATCATCTTTTCATGCTGTAATTTTTTTCTGACAATAACAGTATTAAACAAAATCACCCTACTATTCGGGCTGCAGTGGCATCTGCGATACCATCTGTAAACTGAAGGTATATTATTTTAATTAAAATCTACAGCCTGTATGTGAGCACTGCATTTACTGTATACAGTGTATATATAGTACATATGTATATATAATATACACACACATGTATATACAACAGCCAAAAAAAAATGAACACAAAATAATTATTTTGAAGAAATTTCTTTAAAATAATTATTTTGTGTTTTCATTTTTTTTTTGGCTTTTGTATATATATATATATATATATATATATATATATATATCTATATATCTATATCATACATATGAACTTTTTCATTTCTTCTTGGTTTTTCCTTAATATATATATGTGCTGTTTATAGTAAGTATTTATGTCTGCATTCCACATCTTTAATATTCTTCCTCACAGAATTTTCACTCTTAAACCACCACCTTTATTAGAAGATGTTCATCTGATGTGCAATCAATTTGTGGTTAATTATATAATTGTTTCCAATTATGATGTATGTACAGTGAGGAACAGAAGTATTTGAACACCCTGCGATTTTGCAAGTTCTCCCACTTAGAAATCATGGAGGGGTGTGAAATTCACATTGTAGGTGCATTCCCACTCTGAGAGACAGAATTTTAAAAAAAATTCAGGAAATCACATTGTATAATTTTTAAAGAATGTATTTGTCTTGTACTGCTGAACATAAGTATTTGAACACCTGAGAAAATCAGTGTTAATATTTGGTACAGAAGCATTTGTTTGCAATTACACGTTTCATGTAGTTCTTGACCAGGTTTGCACACACTGCAACAGGGATTTTGTCCCACTCCTCCACACAGATCTCCTCTAGATCTGTCAGGTGTCGGGGCTGTCGCTGAGCAACACGGAGTTTAAACTCCCTCCAAAGATGTTCTATTGGATTTAGGTCTGGAGACTGGCTAGGCCACTCCAGAACCTTGATATGCTTCTTACGGAGCCACTCCTTGGTTATCCTGACTGTGTGCTTCGGGTCGTTGTCGTGTTGGAAGACCCAGCCACGACCATCTTCAATGCTCTGACTGAGGGAAGGAGGTTGTTGCTCAAAATCTCACAATAAATGGCCCCATTCATCCTCTCATTAATACAGTGCAGTTGTCCTGTCCCCTTCACAGAAAAGCACCCACAAAGCATGATGTTACCATCCCCATGCTTCACAGTAGGGATTGTGTTCTTGGGATGCAACTCATCCTTCTTTTTCCACTAAACACGAGTAAAGTTTAGACCAAAAAGTTCTACTTTGGTCTCATCTGACCACATGACTTTCTCCCATGCCTCCTCTGGATCATCCAGATGGTCATTGGCAAACTTAAAACGGGCCTAGACATGTGAGGACTTGAGCAGGGGAACCTTCCATGCAATGCATGATTTGAAACCATGACGGCGTAGTGTTCTACCGACAGTGACCTTTGAAACTGTGGTCCCAGCTCTCTTCATGTCATTGACCAGCTCCTCCCTTGTAGTTCTGGGCTGATTCCTCACCTTTCTTAACATGAGTGATACCCCACGAGGTGAGATCTTGCATGGAGCCCCAGTCCGAGGGAGACTGACAGTCGTCTTTAGCCTCTTCCATTTTCTAACAATTGCTCCAACAGTTCTATTTTCACCAAGCTGCTTGCAATTGCCACGTAGCCCTTTCCAGCCTTGTGGAGGTCCACAATTTTTTCTCTGGTGTCTTTTGACAGCTCTTTGGTCTTGCCCATGGTAGTAGTTGGCGTCTGACTGACTGTGGGGTGGACAGGCGTCTTTAAAGAGCTCAGACAGGTGCTACAAAGTTAGATTAATGAGGGGAGTAGAGGTGGACTTTTTAAAAGCACAGTAACAGGTCTTTGAGAGCCAGAATTCTTGCTGTTTCTTAGGTGTTCAAATACTTATGTTCAGCAGTGCAAGACAAATAAATTCTTTAAAAATCATACAATGTGATTTCCTGAATTTTTTTTTTAAATTCTGTCTCTCAGAGTGGGAATGCACCTACAATGTGAATTTCAGACCCCTCCATGATTTCTAAGCGGGAGAACTTGCAAAATCGCAGGGTGTTCAAATACTTCTGTTCCTCACTGTATATATTGATCTAAGTAGCATTTTGTATTTCAATATGTATTCTGTTCTGAAGAAGGGCATTAACATAATAGCCCAAAACTGTTTGTTAAACACTATGATGTATGGCTTTGTCCATTTTTTTGGATCACCCTTTTGTATGGTGATTTTTTTCAATAATAAAAGTTTTTTTATGTGCAGCAATTTTTATATATATATATATATATATATATATATATATATATATATTAGACCGTGTGGTTCTTTTTAAGGAACACAATACTGTGTGATAATCCACAAAAAAGCTTGATGAGGCATGTCAAGGTGTTGTTAGGCATATTGTACCCAGTGTTTTTTGTGGCATTGGCTCAGTAACGCCTTCTTTTTTGCCAACTCGACCATGCAGGTAATTTTTGAGTATTATTTGCTCCTTAAAAAAAAACACCAGAGCAGCCTGTATTTCCCCTGAGGTTACCTGTACCTGTGGGTTGTTCTTTGTATTCCAAACAATTCTTCTGGCAGTTATAGCTGCCATCTTTCTTGGTCTACCTGAACTTGGCTTGGTATCAAAAGATCCCCAAACTTTCCACTTCTTAATAGGTGATTGAACAGTACTGACTGGAATATCCAAGGCTTTGGATATCTGTTTACAGCCTTTTCCATCTTTATAAAGCTTCATTACCTTGTTAATCAGGTTGTTTGACAGTTCTTTTCTGCTCCTCATGGCTCGGTATTTAGACTGCTCAGTGCATCCAGCCTGCTAACAAACTCACTATTTATACACAGTTTGCAGTTCTTGACAAGTGATTTAAAGTACTTATTGGCATATTCAAGGCTTTGAATATCTTTTTATATCCTTTTAAATCTTTATAACGTTCAAGCTCAATCTAGCCTGCTCAGTGCGTCCATGTGAGAGCTAACAAACTCATTAACTATTTATACACAGACACTAACTGCAATATAAAAAGCCCCAGATGTGAGAAATTAACCTTCAATTGTCCTTTTAACCCGTGTGTGTCCCCTTGTGTGTCTGTACCAAGGCCAAACATTCCAGGGTATTTAAACTTTTGATCATGGCCATTTGGGTGATTTCTGTTATCATTATGATTTAAAAAGGAGCCAAACAACTATGTGTTAATAAATGGCTTCCTATGATCACTATCCTTGAATAAAACACTTTTTTTGGCATGATAAGTCATCTTTTCAATATAAATGCCAAAATTTCACAATTTCTGCCAGGATATGCAAACTTTTGAGCACAACTGTGTGTATGTATATATATACTGTAATATGAAAAAGTAAGTGCATGCCATGGAAACACATTTGAACAGGCATTAGGTCTTCATTCAAGGCAAGGTAAGCATTAGATCCTGATTGACATGGTGTATTAATTTTCATAGTGTAAAACAACAATTGCAGATTTGTTATGTGGATAAAGTAAGTAAGTGATTGAAACACCTTTAAGGAGTATGCAGGTGCAATCTGTCCAAAACAAACAGTAGGCATCTCTTTGTCCTCAGAAACATAGATGTTGACTCTTTTGAGTCTGACAAGGGATTTAGAAAGATCAGCAAATTATTTGACAACAATCTTTCCACTGTAAGAAAAGTAAACTACAAATAACATAGATTTTAATGAACTGATAATTCACCACTTGCTCTCCTGAGGATTTACCCTCCTTCCTGACCAGGCCATATTGTGCTATAAGGCGCTGCATTACTTTAACTGACAATTGCGCGATCATGCAACGCTGCACCCAAATAAAATTTACATTCTTTTTTCCCCACAATCGGAGCTTTCGTTTGGTGGTATTTGATCACCTGTGTGTTATTTTTTTGTGCTATACACAAAAAATGACTATTTTGAGAAAAAAACAATATTTTTGACTTTTTGCTATTAAACATGTCCAGTAAAAAAATAAAAACAATCACATTTTGTCATAAATGTAGGCCAAAATGTATTCTGTCTTTGGTAAAAAAAAATCCTGATATGTGTAAATTAATTGGTTTAAGTGAAAGTTAAAGTGTTTACAAATGGCGGTATATATACTGGAATTTTTATTTATTTATTTATTTTTTACTAGTAATGGTGACGATCAGCGACTTATAGCGGGACTTCGGCGGGCATTCTGACACTGGGGGAAACTGACTTGGCGTCACTGACATCCCCAGTGACACCAAATACAGTGATCAGTGCTAATAAAAAGCACTGATACTGTACAAATGGCATTGGCAGGAAGTGGTTAACATCTGGGGCGATCAAAGGGTTAACTGTGTGCTTTGTGAGTGCTTTCCACTGTAAGCACAGTGCTTTGTATGGCACTGCTATGCACAGCCATGCAAAGCAGTGTGCAGGAGCTGGCAGGGGAGAGATCTGTGTTGTTTATACACAGGTCTCTCCCCTGTAGGAGATTAAAAAACCACAAATGCAGAAAAACGCAGCAAAATGCCGCTAAACGCTAATGTAAAAACACTAAAAAAAGCTGAAAAACTCATGTTTTTAATGTGACTTTACACAGCTAATGTTACCAGCGTTATCAAAACGTCCAGTGTGCATGAGGACTAAAGCTTGCCATACATGCATCAAACCTTGCTCAGCTCTGCAGGCTGAACAAAAAGACCCATCAATTCCCAAACCTCTCTAATCAGCATGGATAGAGGAGTATCAGCTTCCTGTATTGCTTTCAGCACTCCAGTCATGGATCTAGACATGCGAATGAGGGCTGTTTGGCTCAGAAGTGATCTAGTTAGGTGTCCAAATTAAAGATGAGTGTACACTACTAGAATTTCAAATGAAAATTCCTATGAAAATTTGTATGAAATTTCTCAGTACATTCGAATGTCATTCAAAAGTAGTTGATTCTGTTTGCTTTTAACATTTGATTTTAGAATGAATGGACTTTACTGAATGAAAACCACATACACTGTTAGAAATTCGTACATTTGAAAAAAAAATGTCCATTCTGCTCCTTGGAAGTTTTTTGTCACTGAATGTTGATTTGAGCTCTACTAGCGTACACCCAGCTTGATGTTTCATTAGTTTCCACTAAGAATATGAGTAAATCCGGACGGAGATGGCGATGGAGCAGTGCTCATGGACATTTAGGTGGACCGATTGTTCATTGCTATTTATAAACCCATCGATATGTGCCAAGTCAGAAATTTCCACACACTTGAGCATTATGGGGATGAGTAAAATATAATCCATTAGATTTATGTTTCTCTGATGTTGCTTACATAAATAGTCCATATCGGTAAATCACACCAAAACAAACTGTCACTGATAAAGGGACTGTCTCCAAACCATTATTTATGTTTACAAAGAGAAAAAATGGGAGCATCCAGCACTTATTCATGAACATGTATTCCAAATGCGGGTCATGCTAAATGTTTTGCTTTAGTTTTCCATACGCATGTATTCAACAAATGCTAGATAAGGACATAACCGTTTACACAGATTTTACAAAGTTCACATATTAAATTTGGAACGAAATGTAAAAATAAACTGCTGAATTGTGTGAAATAACTGAAAATGTGTGTAGGGATCTGCTGCCTTCTACTGAACTGTGCTAATATCACAGTCTTATGTTTATGTATTAAAACTTCCTGTCTCTGGAAGGGGCTTTAAAAACCCCAGAAGGAGGAAATGACGAGAGAGAGACAGAGAATTGAACCACATGGTCTTATACACACAGGGACTGCTACTGCTGCTGTATTGACACTTAGATCAGAAGCAGAGACTATCATGCAAGAATTTCTATATTCTAATAGTTTACTACAGCTGCCCATAGCTTCTTGAGTATATATCTAAATCTTTGCGACATATTTATTTCTGTCCTATTGTTTATATCTCACATGCACAGTGCCAGATAGCCAGGTCTGTGTGACTGTATATACTGTATGCAGTGGTCACTTTCCAGTATATTAGTAATTGAACCTATTTATTACAAATAGAGTTTATAAACAGCTCCTGTTATTTTAGTCCCTTCTGGTCTGGGATTCTATAGCTAGTTTTAGCTCTGGGCTCAATAGCCAGCGTAGGCTGAAGCCAGGTTAGGTATTTGATGGTCACTTGTGGTAGATAGAGGTCGGGTTGCATGTCAGATTTAAGACTACTAGGGAGGGATTAAAATGTAGAGTAGATAGGCTGACTCTGAGTTCCAGTGCCACATCACAGTTCCTGCTGGTGAGAAGATCAGATCAAGGCTGGTTGGACAACAGTTGGAAGATCTCCCTGCGACCATTGATTTTGTCTTCAGGTCTCCTACACAAAGACAGACACCACATCATCCTTAGGGTCCCCTGAAACTGGACTTTGCTGTAACATTCATCTGTAGGAATCTCTATTAATAACTACTGTATATATACCAAAGTAAATGTACACAATTCCAACAGGATTCCTGTCGGGCCCTTTGCTGATAATAGATCTTTATACATTGGATGCATGTACTGTTATTAATCTCTTATATAACTTGTATTATTTCTATACTGGTGTGTATCTGTATACTTATGGTTAATGTTATATGCTTTGCAGTTACTTTGCTTGGTTATTCATTAATTTCCCAGGAAGGGAATACCCTCTGTTCAAAGAGGCCCTGTCCTGCATGGAGGCAACTTTATTAATAAACTCAACTCTTCCACTTAGTGAAGCCTACAGAGCATTTCACCCACGATTAGCAGATAATAGGTGCAATCTCAGGCTCCTGCAGGTTCTCAGAATAGCTGTCTGCCCGTACCTCATACTGGCAGGCAGTTACTTGAGAGAAGGAAGAATCAATGAACTGCCAGTGTGCTCACCAGGGCCCTCAAAGTTCACTGAGAACTACAAACCACCAGTAGCAATGGTTGATGGTACTTGAAAGCTATTTATTACAAGTAAACAGGACATTTTTAAGTACTTTTGAATGACATCATCTTTAAATGTACTGTGAATTTTTGTCTGAATGTTTAAAAAACTACTAGGCCAGCTTTAAAGTGTTACTTAACCCAGGATCCTGAATTCACTATATCTGGTCTCCCGCAGTACACAGAACATGGAAATGCCATTATTTTAGTAAATATAAAATACTAAATCCCTTTTTTCATCAGCAGTTAGATCAGTCTTGTGGCTTCTATCAGTGTCCAGCCAAGCATACGTTAAAGCTTGTAGGCGGAGTTTTCATTTTGCTCTAGGACAGGGGTATTGAATTAATATTTAAGGAGGTCTGGTCACTAATATTTTCTTCTGGCCGAGGTTCGGATAGGGTGTACCCCCTTACATTAGGTGTCGCCATCAGAGTGCAACTTTATATCATGCATTCCCATCACATCAGGTGTGCCCATCAGAATGCTCCTTTACATCAGTTGTCCCCATCAGAGTACCACCTTACATCAGGTATTGACGTCAGAATGCCCTCTTACACTCAAAGTACCCCTTTCTATCATATTTCCCCATCAGAGTGCCCCTTTATTATTATTATTATACAGGATTTATATAGCGCCAATGGTTTGCTCAGCGCTTTACAATATAGTGGGAGACAATACAGTAACAAAACAGTTCAATACAAGAGGGATTGGAGGGCCCTGCTCCTTGGAGCTTACAATCTAGGAGGGAGGGGTGAATGGTACAGTAGGTAGTAACTGTGGGGGATGGAGTGTGGGTGGAAGAGTAGAGAATTCATGAATTAGCAGAGGGCGGGATAGGCTTCCCTGAAGAGATAGGTTTTCAGTGATTGCCTAAAGGCAAGTAGAGTAGGTGAAAGTCTGATAGATTGGGGTAGGGAGTTCCAGAGGAACGCCCTGGAGAAGTCTTGGAGACAAGCATGGGAGGAGGAGATAAGGGAGCTAGTGAGTAAGAGGTCTTGCGAGGAGCGGAGTGTACAGTTGGGGTGATATTTAGAGATAAGTAAATTGGGACAGTGTTGTGGATGGCTCTATATGTCATTGTTAGTGTTTTGAATTTTAGCCGTTGGGCAACTGGGAGCCAGTGGAGGGATTGGCAGAGAGGGGTGGTGGATACAGAATGGTTAGTGAGGTGGATGAGTCTGGCGGCAGCGTTCATGATAGACTGGAGGGGGGATAGCCTGCGATGAGGTAGGCCAATGAGGAGGGAGTTACAGTGGTCGAGGCGTGATATGACAAGGGAGTGAATGAGTTGCTTAGTGGTTTCCCGGGTTAGGAACGTCGTATCTTGGAGATGTTGTGGAGGTGAAGTCTACATGATTTCGTCAGCGATTGGATCTGGGGCTGGAAGGACAGATAGGAGTCTAGGATTACATCTAGTACCCTGGCGTGAGGGGATGGACTGAGGATGGTGTTAGCGATATTTATGGTGAAGTCAATGGGGGGGGCACGGGCTGGGGGGAATACCAAGAGCTCAGTTTTGGAAAGGTTGAGTTTCAGGAAGTGGAGTGACATCCAAGCTGATATGTCGCTTAGTAGGCTAGCAATGTGGGTGGAAACTGAAGGGGTAAGGTGAGGGGTAGACAGGTAGATTTGCGTGTCGTCAGCATAGAGATGGTAATTGAAGCCATGGGAGTTTATCAGGTGACCAAGGGAGGAGGTGTAGATGGAGAAGAGAATGGGTCCAAGGACAGAACCTTAAGGGACCCCTACAGAGAGAAAGAGTGAAGAGGAGGTGGTGGCATTATAGGTAACACTGAGGAGCGCTGCGATAGACATCATAATTCCCATTAAAGTGCCCCTTTCCATCACATGTGCCCATCAGAGTGCACCTTTCCACAGTATGTGCCCATTTGTGCCTCTTTAACATAAAATGGGCACATTAGAGTGCCCCTTAACATGAAATGTGCCCATCAGTGTCCCTTAACATAAAATGTGCCCGTTAGAATGCCCCTTAACATAAAATAAGGGGCATGCTGATGGGCACATTTATATTAAGGGGTATGATGAGCACATTTAGATTAAGGGCCCTTTGATGGATACAAATGTTAAGGGGCATTGCTGATGGGCACATTTATATTTAAGGGGTACTCTGATGATTTTATGTTAAGTTGCACCTTTATTTATATTAAGGGTCACTTTGATGGATACATTTTATGTTAAGGGGCATTCTGATGGGTACATTCTATGTTGTGCCCATCAGAGTGCAACTTAACATAAAATGTGCCCATCAGAGTGCACCTTAACATTAAATCTGCTCATCAGTATGCCCCTTAACATAAAATAAGGGGCATGCTGATGGGCACATCTTATGTTATGGGGCACTCTGATGGGCACATATATATATTAAGAGGCACTCTGATGGGCACATTATGTTAAGGGGCACTCTGATGGGCATATTCTATGTTTGTGCCCACCAGAGTACCCCTTAATATTCAATGTGCCCATCAGAGTGCCCCTGTAAGACTACACCCTGCCTTGAGGGTAGACAGGAGCTGTGCCAGGATCCTTGCTGGACACTTGT